GACATTCTTTCTTTAATGTAATACTGTAGACTATTTATACCCAATATAAGAAATACGTGTTGAGTGAAATGCAAAATGATGACCTCACAAGTAAGCAATGGAAGATCAGTTGATAAAACAAATATTATTATAAGTAATCCACAGTATTTTTGATGATATCATACAAATGAAATTTCCATAAAAGACTTAGCCGAAAAAATATATGTGGATTCTGTTTTAATTAAAATTTAATAATATTTTTATGATGTTGAATTAAAAATCAGTGGCAGACACAGTGTTCGGACTAATGGAGGGGTTCGAACAAGTGACTGAGATTCAAACCAAGAAACGGGAACTTCTGGGTTCTCAATTTGACATAATATCCAATCTTTGCTTCAAAAATAAGTGATGAGCCCAAAAGTCACCTGTACCCTCCCAAGATCAACCAATGGTGAGATAAATAACTTCCTAATATGACAAAGAAGAATATATCAGCGATGCTATACATATGCTGTGTGATGATCTTCGAAAATAATGCATGAAATGATATTCTATGATGATAGCTATCCTGTCTTTCTGGGGTGAAATATGAACAGGTTCTGGGGTGGAATAAACAGTAGGATCCCAGGTCTGCGTCACTTTATGTCACTAACCAATGTTGAAAAAAGTGTTTTATCAAAAGAAAAATACTATTGTTTTCTCTCTCTTTTAAGTAGAGACAAGATACCATTTCGTAGCTTAGAAAGGGATTTAATACACAACACCGACAAGAAACGTTACAGACTGAAAACATACGTAATGTTATCACGTTGCTAAACTGTCCTATATTTACCACAGCAAGCCATCTTAAACAATATCCATCCCTTCCAACAACATATTGGCCCCCATGTTCAGTTTGTTTCCACTTTTACACAACACATCATTCGCACAAAGCAATAACAATACTCTTTATCACATTCAACTTTTGGCATATACACTGAACACATCATAAACCCAGTCAAATTTGTACATGTCTACTGATCCAACGTTACTCAATGAAGCTTTAACAGGTTAACCGACTTATTTCCGTTTACTAGAATCTGTTGTGCCCAAATCTAGACTCTGCCACTCATCCATGTCGTCATCGTTAGCCCAGACTTCATTGTCCCAACCTGAATTTCCATTGGTTTGTGAGGGAGTGTCCTCTCCGAGGTCTACAAGGTTTCCAACCAGTGGCTCCTTCTGCTTCTTGGGGGAGGAGAACCCGTCACCCCAGTCTGCATCGTCCCAGCCTTCATTACTCTTGCTGGCTGTCTTGGAAGACTTTTTACTTTGGTTTTTAGGACTAGACTTTTTACTTTTATTTACTTTATTGTCTGATTCGCCCCAGTTGTCCCACTCACTCTCATCCTTTTTGGGTTTTGAGGACTTTGATTGAAGGGGCTTCTCATCATTAAGCCATGCTTCGAATTCATCCTCTTCCGTATTCCTGTCCTCCGAAAAACTCTGATCGTTGTAATCGCCGGATTGTAATTTCTTCTGTTTTTTCTTGCCGTCCTGCCAGTCACCTTCCCAGCTGTCCCACGAATCCTCATCCGACAAAAGACGATTTTTACTTGGATCTCTACAATGAAGAAATTTCAAAATGAGTTTAAATCTCCAACAAGCTCCTGGAACTAAAGCTCAGATTTTTACTGGGATACCAGCAATTAGCAAAACGTCAAAAAAAACAGTTTCAATATTGAATCAATATTCACTAACTACAGTCTAAATCATTTACTCTGCTATGCTCAATATTTGATTATCTAGCCTGGAAAAACATTATGAAAGGAACTGTTGAATAAAAACAGTGAAAAGGCTTGTTTGACTTATATTCCCACATCTAAAATACGTAGTGAAATGTATGCCATGATATGTCTATGCTGTTTTTGCATACCCAATGACACACCGTCATCACTTGTCATCCAACATCTAAATGCCGCCAGTGAGAACAGATTATCATAGCAATGTATGTCTTTTCTCCCCTGGGAATAAAGGAATAAGCAAATTTATCTTTGAGTTTCATCTATTGAGCACGAGCTTTACCTCTGTGGAGATGCATTGTCTGTGAGCAGAGAGGATTTCTCCCCCGGACTGGTGTCCACCGATGACAAGGTGGTCTTAGGCTCCCCCCACAGAGACTGGAAGTTGGTCCATCCCTTCGAACTGGCAGACGACAGCTAGAAAACAAGGATACAGAATGTACACAAAGCAGTCTTATCTTACTTTACACATTATACATGAGGTACAGTATCAGCACCAACATCAACACTGGCTCGTGCTTGTAGGCTTAGTTTACACACAGTTATAACACACACATTTTTAACTCATTCACCCCTGACATTTCATAATGAACTATTCCAAC